GGATGATCTTTTGCGATCAGAATGTTTGCTACTTTCAATTGTATTACTACTTTAAAAGTAAGGCTGCAGAGGACGGAAGTAGTAATTTTCATACTCAATTACTGCATATCATTGATGTATCCATCTCGGCATCTGTCGCCTTTTCATCTCAACACATTTCGCTTCACATTATTCCTTCTCGAATTATTCTATGGTCTTTAATTGCCATCTGTTGTAAATTTATTGCAAAAATTTTGGGCTTCGAATTGAAAAAGTTGCATTTAGGCTGATGGGTAATTTGTTATTGAAATTAATAATTCATAATAGTATTAATAAAGTATTGAGTACTGTAAGAAAAAAGTAATCACTTAGCTTTGCTTCAACTGCAGGAACAATCTTCCTTGAGAATTATCTCTTCAACAAGCTTCATAACTTGTGGTTTAGCTTTATCTAACTCAACTAATTACTGCTTGGAAATGATAGTAAGACTTTTTATGCGATTATTCATTCAATAATTACTTGCATCACTTTTATGAGTACTCAAAGTAGTCGTAAGTATACACTTTTAATACATTATATAATATTAGATGGAAAACTTTCTGCATTGATCCAAGTTGCTAATTTAATATATGCATTCGATATTATTTTGTGCTTTTAAAAAATATAAATATTTAAATTTGTACGTCATGCGATAATTCATCAACACGTGACATGCATATTTCCACATCACTTGACTGTTCATTGGTGTATTGCACAAAAATTTCCGCAAGTTTACATTGTACGATTCAGTTTCACTTTGCATCATTAAGTATTATATCAGTTCACACTATCACTGATGATAACGCAGTATGCAATTAATCTCTCACAATTATCAGCCAATATGTTATTTTAACTACTGCAAATTGTCATATCAGTTGTTCTCGTTCAATAGCAAAGCAATTTTTTGTATCAGTAATTAACTGTACACTTTGCTGGGATTTGGCAATGCTTGTCTTACGGAACGTAGGCTCGATGTTTGACGTACTGTAAAAAGTCGAATTAAAATTGCCAAAATAGTTTCAGATGAAAAAAGACGAAATGATTCAAGTTAATAGATAAAAAGTTTAATAAAGTAATATGATGAATAAATCTGAGATAAGTACAATTGAAATTTGTAGTTATTTTAGTCTATAAGTGCTGTTTGTTTTTAACTAAAGAATAATTGCTTGGAATAATAAAAAGAATATTTACTGGGCAGATATTGACGTATGGATAGAACGTAAAATTGATGGCATACGTGTTGTACTAATACGTGAAAGCATTGCACCAGGTGGACCTGATAATGATGATGCTAAACGTGGCCGTTTTTTTGTTTTGGTCAGCCAGAAGAATAATAATGGATTCCAAATGACAATTGACATGGCTATCGCATGAGCTACCAATGGCCAAAAGAAAGGTTGTTGCAACAAGAATGGTGGCTCCCATTCTAAAAAAAATAATCACTTCATCAAAGTTTTACTCATTTTTGACCTCTGACCTGATTATAACATAGTTAAAAACTCTAAAGTGAATTTTGTTACTAAAGAATCATACTTACAATCAATTTTATTTCAGCTTAAGTTAGCTGAGCAATTTGAAGAAGGAATAAATAAAATTTCATGCAATTGCAAACTTCTCACAGAATTAATAAATTTATCAAATTAAAACTGTAATTATACATGCATTCCTGGCGAATTTCGTTTTGAATATTCATAAATAAGCTAACATTTTATTGGAAGATAATAATAAATATATGCTTCCTTGCAAAAATATGTTTAAAAGAATTTTTACTGAAATCTTTGAGCATATTAACGACAGTAAGTGGAAGCCAGCAGCCAAGAAAAGCAACTACCATGCCAATAAGGATGTAATTAACCTGAAAATACAGTCATCAAAGTTATTTTGCAAAACTTCTTGTGATTAACTCTCTAACTGATTAATTATTTTTGATAAGATAATACTTTATTAATTGACTTGATTGAATTTCAACTCGTAAGATAAATTAAATACATTTTACAAGATGCAAAGGATTTGGATTACTTTAGTAAAGTATATTTAATTCCACAGTACTCTTATATTAAAAAATTTTTTAATAAAAATAAATGAATTTTTAGTAAAGCATTCAATTATTAATGTACTGTGAATTAAATTTGACAAAAATTAAATTTTTAGAGGAAAGAGAATTTGAATTTATTATTGACTCTAGTAGTACAGTCACATGTTATCTCGCTGTTTTACATTAATTCAATTTAGTTTATTAATTAGACTATTTTTACAATTTTTCCTGCAAAATATATTTGTATGAAAAACAAATTTCAAAAATTTGAATTACCATTTGAAATTTAATTCAAAAAATTGTACTAGTTTATATATTTGCATGAAATTCAGTTTTAAAAATTTATACTACTAACATTCAAAAAAAAATTGCGCCTCTTTTAATAATTTTTTTAAATTATATTATTTTTTGCCAATAATAAAAATAAGTAAGCGAAAATTTTCTTTTGTATACAATCAGCAAAAAAAATTTTAGAGTTAATAAAACGTTACTAATGATTTTTTCTTCATCAAAAAAGATTAAGCAAAATTTTCAAATATTAAAAATGTTTAAATATTAAATTAAACAAAAACATTATTAAT